TGTTATTTCTTTGGTGCGGAGTCCAGTTTCACAAGCTTCTAGAAGGTTCTTATGTAGCCTCTTGGGACAGCCCACGGGAATTAAACCCAGAGGTTTCTTGGAGGAGGGTGAGGGATGAGGAGGGATGATGTGAGTGCCTGCAGGGCAGGAGGGAAGGCACGGGGCAGCCAGCCCTGGATGATATCCAGGCAGGCAGCAGCCCAGGTACCAGCCTGCTCCGTCCCAGGCTTGCCCAGCCCTGGGGAGACCTGAGCCAGACTCTGTCCCCTCCCACCCCGCGGGTCTCTGTGGCAGGCACGGGGAGAAGAGGCTACTAGCCAGAGGGAGAACCTGCCTCCGGGCCCCTGAGTCCCTGGGGTGGCAGAGAAGCAGCCCCCACTTTAGTTTCTGTCTCCTTCCTGGTTCCCACCCAGCCAGACTTGCCATTGAGAAATGAGAAGTATGAGACCAAGGGCTCCTAATAGCATCCTTTTTTGCAAATGGAGGTATCCAACATTCCTCAGCCTGCACACACCTGGGGGAATGTGGGGAGTGAGAGGGAGTCCTGTGGGGTAAAACGAGGTGCCATCAGGGCCACTGGGTATGGGGCCAGTGGCAACTAAGCCCACCATACCTCACCTAGGATGAGAAGACACCCTGGCCTGGCTCTGAGCCCCTGGTCACTTCCCAGCCTGCTTGAAGAACAGTGGCCCCATGCGCCCCATCACACAGCACCCCCAGGCTGGGCCAGCTCTCTTTTAAGAGCAAGCACCAGGCCAAGCCTGTCTTCGGAAGCCACGGAACAAATGAGCTGCCTTCCAGAGCAGCCATAACTTTTACTCCCAACATACCCTCAGCCCTACCAGAATAGCCAAGACTCCTCTCTGTTCCCCATCCTGGTGCTGAGGCCAATTCCCCTGTATTGAGCAGCAGGGCTCTGGTCTTACTTGAATAAACAAGAGCCCTGGGCTGAGGGAAGGGCAGTCTTAGGAGGGGAGGGTCACCTCTGTTGTTCCCCTGGCCACCCTGGTGGTCTTGCTCCTCCAGCCCCTCCTCTGGGACCCCAAGCTGGCTGGCCTGCAGGAAGCATGTAAGCAACCTGGCTGTTTCTGTAGGGCCCATCACCATGGCATCAACCAGGGAGGGGCTGAGCCCAGTGGGGCGTTGGCCCCCAGCCGCCCGCAGCCCTCCCCCGAGGAGGAACAGGGAGCGGCTTGGGGCCTGCTCCCCAGAGACAGTCACTGGGATTAGGGTATCAACTTTCCCCAGCTTTCCAGGTGGCTGCTGGTGGCGCCTATTGAATTCCGTGCCCGCCGTCCGCTCCCTGGACTGCGTGGGTGAAGGTGATGGGGCGGCCACTTGGGGTGGGCCAGGCTTCCGGGTGGAGAGGACAGATGAAGGGAGACTGCCTGAGAACCCGAGGGTGGAGAAGCCCTCATGAGAAGGGTCTGGAGGCATCTTTCCTGGTGGATCTTTTCTGGAAAGCCAGCTGGCACTGCCTGAAAGCAAGTCTTAGGTCTGTCCAACCCAGGGCCACCCTGGCCCAGCTGCACTGCCCATCGGCTGCCATTGCCTCACGTTCCTGCCTCTTGATTTGGGGTCTCCGCCAGACTCTTCTCTGAGCAGATCCTGATTTTTTTCCTTGAGCTTGGGTCTTCTGGTCTGGAATCATTCCTGCGAGTCCCACCTTGGCCTTCGGAACTCATTGGAAGGCTCTGAACGGACTCCAGGGCCATGTTCTCCTTGGAGTCTCCTGTGGACTCCCTGTGCTTTGACCCCTTAGAGCTGACACTAGGCTTCTGGGTTCATGAGGGTCACGCACCAAGCCCGAGATGGCCTGGACTTCACGCCCATTTACCCTCTTTCCCCAGAGGCAGACCCCAAGCCCCACTCCAGCTTGTGAGGGGTGGGGGCCCAGGAGCAGTGATGGCTGAGTTCTGGGGAGGGTGCCTTGCCTCATCTTTTCAGTGCTGGGCCTGGAGACCATAGACCAGGCCCCTCAGATCCCCCAGGAGGCCGACCCCAGGGGACTCCTGCAGGCGCCAGCCTCCACCCAGCTTGGGATGGGCCCGCTCGAGGGGCTGACTCAGCAGCTGGCAATGGCACCTCCTGGAGACAGCTGGGTCGCTCCTGGGGTGGGGAGGGGTGAGAGAAACAAAGCTGGTCTCCCTGGAAAAAAGGGGAAGCCCCCTCCCCTGTGGGGGAAGGAACCTCCAGGGACTTGAGCGGGAGGCAGCTAGGCTCGGTAGGTGTCTGGATGCTGTGGGGGGGAGGGGCAGCGCTGCCTGGGGCTTCCCATTGCCCTGTCCAGCCACCCCCTCGGGCCCTGAATCCGCCACAGAGTCACACCCAGAGGGCAGTGGAGTAGAGCCTGAGCCCCTCAGGCTATGTTTTTCATTTGTCCCTGAATCCCAGGACTTGGTGCTGGCAGAGGGGAGCGAGGCTCAAAGAAGGCCCTGGAGCTTTGCTGACGTGTCACTAGGCAAGGGGGACTGGGATGACGGTTACTGAGGGTCAGTAAGGGAAGCCCACAGTGCAGAGATCTGCGTCAGGGTAGGTGTCCCAAGGGCAGCCAACACAGCCCCCAGGCATGCCCATCACCATGCCAAGCTTCACCCCTCAGCTCAGGCTGTAGCTCCGCCTGTGAGAGGTCCTGAGCACCTGGAAGGAAGGCTCAGGAAGCTCCTAGCCCACCTCCCAGCGGAGGCTTCCGCCAGTGCTGGGGAGACAGCCCCTGTCTGCGCGCCATGGCCCGACTCCTGCTGGGGTGTTTGCTCAAATGGGTTGCCCCACTGTGGACTTATTCTTCAAAGACCATCCCACAGTGTGCTAGAAGGAGAGTGGCTTCCGAGTCAGGGAGAGACCGGATTGGAGTCCTGGATCTGTGATATCAGGCAGTGGACTTAACATCTCTAGGTCTAAGTGCTCCCATTTCAAATCCAGAGCTGACCGGCCCCAGCCAGGTTGCTATGGTAAGGGTCTTCGGAGTGAGGGGTCTGTGGGGGAAGGAGGGGAGGAGCAGACTATGAGAGCTGCCCCCTGCCTGTCCCCGAGATTCACCCTCCTCACTTTCTCAGGGTGAAGGGCCAGGTCTTACAGCTCAGTCTGGCTGAGGCCGAAAGCTGAGCCTGTCCTGGTGGTGGCAACTGGTCAGACCTGTTCCTCCTCACCTAGGCGGCCAGCCGGGAGGGCCCAGTTAGGAGCTTTGTGGAGGGATTAGCTCCAGGGGAGAAGAGCCTCGAACCCGGAACAAGATCCCGAGGGCATGGGGCCTGGGGGTGGGGCTACTGAAGTGAGCTGGGAGTGGGCCCTCCAGTGAGGCATGGGTTGGGGCTGAGAAGAACCTGAAAGAGGATGCTTCATTCACCCTGGCTTCTGGGTTTCCGAGCCTCTGTGGGCCACTATTTTTAACATTAATTTTTGTTGGGGGGCTTAGAGTCCAGATTGGGTAACTGGCAGCCAGCAGTCACCCCTGCTAACTGTCGTCATCTCCCCCATGTGAACATCCTGAAATACAGGCAAGAAAGACCTGCCCGAGCATTGAAGGGCCCTCCCACCACCCCCCAGAAAGTGAAGGCTGGGGATTGAGTCTCTCACAGATGGCAGCTGCCTCCTGGGGCTGGCAAGTTGGGACAAAGGCCGCTAGTGCTCTTCTGTGCTCCTTCCCACCCCTCCCTGCCTTCTCCACTCCCAGCTGGGGATTTGGGTTTCAGAGCCACCTGGCACACCGCCCTCCCCCACCCAGAATCTCACTTTTCAGCTTAATAGGACTATTAACAACAATGGGAAAGGCTAGGTATGCACAGGGATTTTACAGTTAAAAAGTGTTTCCACATATGTCAATTATCGTATTGGGCTTCACAGCAACCCCGGGCGGCAGTTGGCAGCAAAATTGGCCTATAAATGACCTGTGCATAGCTAGTAAGCACCTGGTTTCGGGCTCGACTGTCCACTGTTGCCCAATATGCTGAGTGATAATACAGGTCCCTCTCTCTCTAGGGAACGGAGTCTGCCAAGCCTGGGAGGAGAACAGGGACACTTGTAGGGGTCCTTGGGCTCCCTCCATCATGCTGTGTGTCTTAGGGCTGCAGGTTCTAAGCTGAACTAAAATTGGTTGAAACTGAAACTGGCTCTAGCTCACAAGAAGGCCAGGAGTTCAAGACCAGCTGTGGCAGCATAGTGAGACCTTGTCTCTAAATAATAATTAGAGGCCACAGCCACACACCGTGCTCCCTTCAGGCCATCCCTATTTTTCACAGTGCCCTCCCCCTCCAGGCTCCCTGGGGGGGTCGACAGTGTCTCTGCCAGTCTGTTGCTACCTTTACCCTCAGTGGAACCTGGAGCTCCTGAGGATGGCCTTATGCCGTCCAGGAGTCCTTGCTGTGCTGCCACCAGGTTTCAGGTCATCTGGCTCCTCCCCGCTCCCTTTTGGCGGGGCCATTTGGCTTGGTGGGGTTGAGAAGGGAGTTCATGTAGGTGAGGAAAGGCTTTACTGTAAACATGCTGGCTAGCTTTCAGTAAACAGCTGCCCCTCCCTCACTGCAAAGAGTGGGGTACAAAGAGGCTGGGGGGTCTCCAGTCACATGCCCTGGGCACCCAACCAGGCTGACAGGGTGCCAAACTCCCCCCACCCCCACCAGGAGGGCCAGACTGAGCCACTGATGGGGAGGGATAAGGTCTCAGTCAAAATAGCATATGATTAGCGATTAGCCTTAGAATGTCAAAAGAGGAAGGCACTTGAGAGCTAACCTGGCCCACCCCTCATTTGCCAGAAGGGGAAACTGAGGCTTGGACAGGGCAGTGACTTGCCCAGAGTCACCTCTGCGGTTGGCTGCAATGCTGGGTGTCCACACAAGTCGTCTGAGTCCCACGCCAGAATTCTCTTGCATTGCTGTGTAGGACCTAAGCAAACTCGCATTATTCTAAACCTTCCTTGGTGGGTAGTGGGGTCAGGCGAGGGCAGGGGAGGCGGGACCTGACATTGTGGAACTGCCATGGACCCTCCTTTATCCCCACAGCCTGAGCTTCGGCCTCGGCTCTGTGCCATGAAGAAGGGCGCCAACGGCTATGGCTTCAACCTGCACAGTGACAAGTCTAAGCCAGGCCAGTTCATCCGGGCAGTGGACCCAAACTCTCCAGCTGAGGCGTCAGGGCTCCGGGCGCAGGACCGCATTGTGGAGGTGAACAATGCTTCTCACTCTCTTCCCTCCTGACCGCCTCCCTGCAGATAAGCTGCACCTGGGGCGTCCAGTGCACCATCTACTGCTTGATCAGCCCTTGGGGTATAGCCAGCCCAGAGATGCTACACGGATGGGTGAATGGGAGGGAGGGAGAGGGAAGAAGGATGGGTGGTGGGTGGTGGTTGGACAGACTGACTCCTTACTGACTCCTTTCTCACCCGTACTCTCCCCTGGGCTCTTCTTCACCGAGCAGACAGACTGGCAGCCCACGATTCACCCACCAATCTGGGGAGATGTCTGGGGCTGCCCCTAGAACTTTCCTGCTGCCAGGCACAGGTTGGGGATAGTGTTGATAAACCCCCCTCCCGAGTTGGGCTCTTAGACACGCCCATTCAGTATTCCTATGCTGTGCTCACAGGAGAGGAAATGTGAACCAAATCCCTGGGCAGGTCCCAGAATCACAGTCTCAGAACCTTAGAGCTGGAGATCAGCTCTCTCAAGACTTCTCGTTTTACACCGGAGAAAACCAAGGCCCAGAGAGGGAAGTCAAGTCCATAGAAAGGCTGAGGCCCCACCCAGCCTCCTGAAAGGCTTGCTTCCAGTCTCTCACAGCTGTGTTTGTTTAGTCTTGACTGGGTATTTTCTTTGGCTTTCCCGGTCCTGCCTCCCCAGCTGACTGTCAAGTGGGAGGACCCCCGGCCTAGTTCGGGGACTCTCCAAACAAGGGGTAACTCAGTGCTCCCAGCTGCGAACTAAGTGAATGCCTACAGGGCCCTGAGGCCCTCCTCCACCTACCTGCCCCAGAATCGAGGCCTGTGCCAGTAACACCTAACCCCCACCCTGCAGGTGAATGGAGTCTGCATGGAGGGCAAGCAGCATGGGGATGTGGTGTCTGCCATCAAGGCTGGTGGGGACGAGGCCAAGCTGCTGGTGGTAGACAGGGAAACTGATGAATTCTTCAAGAAATGCAAAGTGATCCCATCTGAGGAGCATCTGAATGGTAAGCTGGGTGGGGCAGCTGGCTGTCCCGGGGCTGGGGGCTCCCAAGTCAGAGATATGAGCCAGTACCCCCATGTCTCAGGTGACAGGTGGGCAGCTTCCGGGCTTGGATGCTCCCTCTCTCTCTAGGGAAGGCCCAGAGCTGTGGGTTGGGGGGGTGGGAACTTTTGTGGGGACAGGAAGTAAGGATCGGCAATGGGTTTCTGAGGATGGCATATGACCAGGGTCAGCTGGCATGAGGGATGGTGTTCAGAGATGGGACAGAGAAGCTGCCTGAGCCCCCCAACCCTGTTACCACCAGCAAGTTCTCAGGGCAGTGCCATGCCAGGAAAGGGTTAACTCTGGGGAGGCCTCTAGCCTGTGCTTGGTCAGATCAGAGTCCAATGACAGGGGCCCAATGCCTCCCCCTCCCTTCTCTCAGGTTGTCTTGGAAACTCAGCCTTCCTGGCTCTAGAGAGTGGTGGGTCCCCCTTCGGTCCCTGGGCCCCTGCCCTCCCCATCCCCCGCCATTCCCTTGCCAACTTGGCACCTCCCCCTGCCCAAGCCTGAGCCAAACAGGGCAGGGCTGCTGCACCAGGGTAGGGAGGGGTTAAGCAGTCCTCTGCTCCCTGGTCTGGACTTTCTCCCTGGGAAGATGGTTCCCTGGAGAGGGCAGGGGGTGTTCACTGGGCCATTCTGAGGGTGGAACCTCTTGGGACTTTGCAGTGGGTAGAGGCTCCCTGAGGATCAAGCTTGTATTTGTAGGAGTGGATCCACACAAAGGTCCTGCCATGGACTCAGATCCCCAGCTGAAGGGTGCACTGCGGCGGCCCTGGCCCTATCTGATCCAGGGTCCGACATTCCTAGAAGGGGGCTTGCTCTTGGAAGTCCCCAGCAGACTCTGGGCATGGGGGGAGCACAACCTTGCCCTTGTCTGTTAAGTTCACAGAAACCAGATAACTCAGATAATCCCCTTCCTCGGTGACGGGGAGACTGAAGCCCAGGGAAGCCTCAGCCTTGCTCTTGGGGACCTGGTACTGGGAAGACATTGCTGAAATCTGGATTCCACTCAGTTCCTCAGATACTATGTCCTGCTTCCCCCACCTCCCACCCCAGTAATTGACCCTGGAATGCCCCTCCCTCCCAAAGAGATTGCAACCTCTGCCCAGAGGACCCAGAGAAGGAGAAGCCTAGGGGCAGCCTCCTCCGGGAGTCCCTCCTGGGTCTCTTCCAGGATGGCATCCTTGCTCCATGGTGAGGAATGTCCCTTCTCAGAGGCTGCTAGTTTCACCCTGACCACTGTGAGCTAATGGGGAAGGGACTGGCTTGGGGGGGAGGAGTGAGTGTCCCCGCATCCCAGAAGCCTGCCCCGAGGAAGGCTGTGGGTGTCAACAAGGAGAAAAATGTGAGTTTAGTATGCCTGGGTGTGCCTTGGACTAGGGACAAGGGAAAGGGCATCGAAGAGTTCAGACAAAACCCTAGATTGGCCAGGCACTGGCTTTTATGCTGAGTGAGCCGGGTTAGGGTGACTCCAAGGTGGTCTTCTCTCCCTCCGACCCTTCCTGCCACCACCAGGTTTCCCACTGACTGGAAGAAGGGAACACCCAGGACACACCCGTGAGCCTTCCTGTGTCTTTCCCTGCTCCCATCCCCAGTTCTTGATTGGCAAATAGGAGTTGGGGTTACTTGCTTTCAGTTGAGGCAGGTACTAGCTGTAATCTGGGGTGAGGTTCTAATTCTGGTGTCATATCATAATCACCTGGGAAGTGTTTGAAAACGTTTATTCCTAGGCCTGCCCCAGACACACTAAATCAGAATCTCTGGTGCCAAGGTTCAAGAATCTGTCCTTTTAACAAGCTTCCCTTCCCAGGTGGGATTTCCCAGATAGGAATCAGGCAGCCAGCCTGGAATTTCAACTCAATGTGTTTGTTAAACAGCTCATGACCATCATTGGCTCATAAGATCAATTTAGTAGGTAGAAGCCAACATGTTTTTTAAATAAAAGTAAACAGAAATTATCAAAGAACTTACACTGAAGTGAGGGTATTGTTTTTGTGTGTGCTGAGTCAACAAAATGGCAAATGAACTTATAGTGGGTTGCAGGCCAAAAACTTTGAAACACTGACCTAGAGAATAAGATCTCATTATCTGCTCAAACCCAATTCCTGCCTTTTCTCCACATTCCACTATAATTCTGATCCCAGAAGCTTCTGGATTCACCTCTGCTCTGTCCTTCACCTAGGTCCCTTGCCGGAGCCCTGCACCAATGGGGAGATACAGAAGGTAAGGGTGGATCTACTAACTGCTTCTCTGGCTCTCAATCCTGGGGGTGCAGAGGTGGGGCAGAAGGGGGCATGGTTGGGAGGACAGCCTTCTGGTTCAAGCTGCCAGAGGACCCTCTGGCCCCTGCCTAGGGCCAAGGCCGTCGGGAAGGAGGGCAGGCTGGGCCCCTCTGCAGCCTGCCATCCAGGGTACAAGCCCCCACCTCCAACTCCCCACCGTACAGAAGGGGCCATTCTTCCCCCCAAGAACAGAGCTTCAGTGTCTGGCTGCGGGCAGCCAGGCCTCTGCTACTTCCAGTCTGGGTTGGAAGAACAAAGCTCCTCCTCCCCAGGCAGAAGGGAGGGGGGTGACACTGGGGAAGAGACAGTGGGGCTGGGCGCCAGCCCAAGCCGTGGAGGAACCCAGGAAGGGGCTGAGCGCCAAGCTGACACCCCAGCCAAAGCCTTCCCTCCGGGACAGGCCAACTCTGAGACCACAGAGCAAGAGCTCTGCAGGGTCCACTCAAAGGTTTCCCTTCCCCAGGAGCTCCTGCCAGGGACTTGGCAAGGGGGTCGGCTCCTTGGACCCAGATCTGAACCTTCTGTCATCCCATCTGTGGATCTAGAATGTTCCTTCGGGGCCCTGGTTGGCTGCTTTGGGGTTAGGGTTTCAAGATTCCTAGGGTCAAGTCCAGGCAAACAGATAGGCCCAAGGAAATCAAGGAGCACCACACAGGGTCCCCATGCCAAGCCAAGAGGCCCCTGAGGTACCCACCCTCCAAGAATCCTCTCCTTGGTCACTGGCCCCAAAGGTGAGTCAGTGCCTGAAGGCCACACTGGGATGACCTGGCAGAGGGAGTAATTCAGCTAATCCTAGGATGGTCGGTATTCCTCCCACCCCTCCAGCCTGGGTAGTGGAACTAGGATGCCCCCGATCGTTTAAGGAATGTAAAACCGTAAATCCAGTGAGAAACCCCAGCGGGTTCAGGCAGTGGGAATTTGGGGTGGATGACCCATCAGTGTTACTTCTCAGACTGAGGGCCCCATCTTCCCTGGACATTTCCTCCCTTAGCAGGATTTCCCCGCCAACCCATACTCTTCCTCTCTTCCAGGAGAACAGTCGTGAAGCCCTGGCGGAGGCAGCCTCCGAGAGCCCCAGGCCAGGCCTGGCGAGATCCACCTCCAGTGATACTAGTGAGGAGGTAAGCTAGCTGGGCAGGGGGCAGCCATTGGGTTATGGAAAGCCAATTCCCAGGCCCCACTTGTTCCTGGCACACCAGCCTGCCTCTGGGGTCACATGCTGAGCCGCATTCTGTTCTTGTGACCTGGCTTCCCTGGGCACAGCCCCAAGGGAGCTACCTCACCAAGGCTGAGTGAGGACCAGGGAGCCTCATCAGGGACAGACTCCCAGCTTCCTCCCCCGCCTCCTCTTCACAGCTGAATTCCCAAGACAGCCCCCAGAAGCAGGACTCCACGGCACCCTCATCTACCTCCTCCTCTGACCCCATCCTGGACTTCAACATCTCCCTGGCCGTGGCCAAAGAGAGGGCCCACCAGAAGCGCAGCAGCAAACGGGCCCCGCAGATGGACTGGAGCAAGAAAAACGAACTCTTCAGCAATCTCTGAGTGCCTCATCCCAGGGGACTGGCAGGCCCAAGTCAGCCTCCCAGCCCACGTCTCCTTTTCTCTCCTCCCTAACTATTCCCCTGAATCGATGTACAAATCAGCACCACCATCTCCTTTCCTGATGAATTTGATTTTTCTAGAAAACTATGTTCTTCCCTTACCTTTGGGAAGGTGAATGTTTTTCTGTCCGCCCCAATCAGAAAGCACTCTGTCCTCTTCCTCCTCCTCACCAAGTGCTTCATCCTACCAGGTGTCCCCTTGCCACCTGCCTGGGACACCACTGGAACCTATTACAAGGATCATGGGACCAGGCGAGAGGGCATCTTCCCTCGCGACCCCACATGACGACTGGGTCCAGGGCTATCAAGGACCTCTGACTGCAGCAGCCACAGCCTGCAGGCACAGGGCGTCTGTCATCCTGAGCACCGTGGCTTAGCCATCTTATTTTTGTTCATCTGATTTTGTTAAAAGAGTGCAGTATCACAGAGTGTAGAGGAATTTTTGTTTCCCTGATTAACATGATTTTCCTGGTTGTTGCATCCGGGGCATAGCAGCAGCCTCAGCCTTAAACTTTGGTTTCTACTCTTATGGGAGGGTTTGGCTACCCCTGCCCATTCCTGGGCTGGACTCCACTACTGTAAGGAAACTCCTTCAGAAATTCACCTGGTTCCTCCAAACCACTTCTGCCTCGTGTCTTCCTTTGGAGCTTTGTCCTCTGGCCTTGGGCCCCTTCTAGGTGGAAAGTGAGAAATGGCAAAGGAGTGTTCCCAAGGTGGCCTTGGGCTGGGAGGGTGTGGTACAGCTGGAGGGAAAGCCATCTAGGGCTCCCTGTGACCCCAAGCCCTAGAAGCTTTAAGCAGAGGGCCTGGAATCTGTAGCAGTACAGGAGTCTTATGGGGAAAACACACCTATCCTTGTGCTCAGGTCAGCGGTCAGTGTACAAGACTGTGAGCACAGATGTGAGTGGGGGGTCCCTTGTGCAATGGGGGTGTTCTAGGGGAAGTGGGAGCTGAGACCCACATGCTCAGAGGGCTCTGAAAGATTGATTCCAGGTCGGGCGCAGTGGCTCACACCTATAATCCCAGCACTTTGGGAGGCCGAGGTGAGAGGATTGCCTGAGCCCACAGGTTCAAGACCAGTATGGGCAACTTGGCAAGAACTCATCTCTACAATAAAATTAGCCAGGCATGGTGGCGCATGCCTGTAGTTCCAGCTACTTGGAAGGCTGAGGCGGAAGGATCGCCTGAGCCCCAGCAGGTCAAGGCTGCCGTGGCCAGGAGCATACCACTGCCCCCCAGCCTGGGTGACAGAGTGAGAATCCAACTTAAAAAAAAAAAAAAAAGGTTGATTCCTCTAATTCCAGGAATGTGAATCCCAGGAAGGGGTTGAGTTTGGAATGTAAGGCCTTGGCTTTATTCTTTCTACTCACAGCCAGTGGGTACAGGATTCCCAGAAGCAGGCTGACCTAGCACCAGATACTCTATCTTATCAGGCATGGGCTTGATTGGAGAATTGTCCAGTGCTAGGAGAAAACAAACCATTTCACAGAGCCCCAGGACATGCCTTGTGGCCAGGTGGGGTGAAGGGGACTTTCCAAGGGCAAAATGTTCTGCTTCTCCACATGAGGCCCAGGTCCTTTATGCCTCTGGCACCTGAAGTCACATTCTGGAGATCTACTATGGTGGCCTACAAGGCCAAGAGTTTCCAGGGCAGGTGGCCAGAAGGAAGTTGGCCCCAGGGTACTCAACTGCCACTCAACCCCCAGAAGCCAGGAGACCACTCAGGTTACTGGGCTGAGAACAAGTAAAGAAGGAAAATACCCATCAGAGAGGGGACCCGTGGAGTTCTCAGGCCTGTCCCAGTCTGGCCATCTGCTCCTTGTTGGTGTTTGGATTCCACTAGTATTAAGAGGAACTACTTACAACCCTTATCCCAGCACCTGTCACCAGGAGCCCTGCTCAGCTGAGCCTGGCCTGTCCCCCCCACCCCACCCTTGCTTCTACCCTTTGAC